AGATTTATTTTTAATATTTTTATATAAAAAACAACCTAAACATCTGACATCCTCAATCCTTTTAAACACATCCACCAGCTTGTTGGTGATCATTCCCATTTTGTTTGATTACCTTGGGAAAAATCATCAAATATCTGCTTGTAAACACTTTTTTTAGACATATCTGTCTCCCTTACCCTTCTTTCCTGGCCCGTATGCGGCTGTGAGAAACTATCTTGTCATAAGCAGAAGAATCCACGCWCTCTAGGAAACAAAGTGCCACCACCACTGAAGTGACCACCAGCAGCCGATCCATCCTGCACAAGTAATCAGTCCTCTGTAGGTTAAGGTCAATGACACACTTTAGCTTTTCCAACACTCTCTCATACACACACACACRYGCACACACACACATGCACAAGCTTGCACCCCTTCCAAGTAACCCCCACACAGAAGATATGGGAAGACATACATGGGAGGGAGAGCTTTTATACCAACATTCTTGCATCTCCAACACACCCACTTCCCCTTCCACTCAGCCACTTGCCTTTTCCATACCATGACGTCCTGCTCTCAACCACACACATCCTTTCTTTTCAAATCCAACCCTTCCTCCAGCTCTGGCTCCAGCGCAGGATCGATGTCTCCACCTTCCTTGCTCTGCTTCTCACCAATTTACATGTTAGTCTTGACCACCATCACATCCCAGATCACCGAGGACACCCTGAAACCCAGACCGCGTACTTTCAAACGACAGCTTGACTTCGAACTTTATTTTAAAAGAAGTTATAACTTCAAATCAGACGTACTGGATTAAATGTTTGTGAAGACAATAAATATGCATTTAAAGGTGTTAATCACACATTTAAAGTCTGTTCCAAAGACATTTAGAAATGGTTAAATTAAAGTTAATGATCTGTTTTATACGACAACAAAAGGAAAAGATTTATGAGGATGAATCAGAGTAAAGCAGTTTTACAATTGAAAGAGTCTTTTTTATTTGCTATTATACACCGCTTGGGTTCTCCTCTTTCCCTTTTTTCTTTTTTTCTAAACTGGATTCATTATTTCCACCAACGGTTTCTTTCTTCACATTAATTCTTTCTTTATGATCCTCTTCTCTATTTATCCTCCCTGCTGTCATGTTCATCGTTCATCACGCCAGCTTTTACCCCAGTTCCAGTTTTTTTTCTTTTTTCCTTTGCAGCAGCTGCCTCCCGCTCTCACGTTGAAGCAGATTCTGCTGCAGCTTTTCAGAAGACAAAACAAAACAAAACAAAACAAAAAGACTTAGCAGACATTGTCATGCCTCGAAGCATGAATAAGAGCAGGTTTTCTTCAAATTTTAGATTTGTACAGCACATTCACCAAAAAACATTCATTGTAAGCACAGATGTCACTAATGAATATGTTTAAGATCTACCTGTTTTTGCAATAATTACAACTTTTAGAGCTCCAAGAAAGTTTAGAAAACATGTTGCAGTCTGGGGTTGTTCAGATGCCAGCTGTCTGGTTTTAATATGTTTGATGAAAGCTATCTTTTTCTATTTTAAAWCTTTCGTTAATCATGTTCTCAGCAGTTATTTGGTTTCTCGTAAACAGAGCTAAAGTTACATTCTTGGTGACTCAGGCGTATGCATGATATTCAATTAAATTAAATAAATCAATAGATGGATCATTCTGTCTGTGTGTCTGGGCAGATTTTTTTGAAACTCACAAATAGTAACCATTGGATGCTTCATTTAAACCTGATAAGCTTTTAATTATGTTGATGATTAGTCAAACCAGTTTAARATGGATGTCACAGATAATTGTCCTAATGTCTATAACTGTGAATATTAGATATTCAGCTTACTGCGAAGTGGAGTCATGATACTTGTGATTTCAGTAAACTTCTCACATTTAGCTTTGTGCAACATAGCAACTTCATGGCAGAGAGTGTTACTAAGCAGACAGAGCACGTACAGTAGGTTTGCCTTTGAAAATCTGTGAACCCACTATTACGAGCTGCTTTATTTATTTATTTATTTATTTATTTATTTATTTATTTATTTATTTATTTATTTATTTATTTTTGGAAGTTGGGGGTTGAGCCTCATTGCAGTCACTCTGCATATATGGCCCAGGAGCTGCCAGTTGCCCATCCCTGGTTTAGAATATTGTTAAGTGATGAAAAGGGACACTGATTATAGTGTTGGGATCAGGCTAAATAACAACAACAACAATAAAAAAAAAAAATAATAATAATAATAAAGCAATAAAGGGTGACATTTTCTAGAGAGCAATTTTTAAAATTAGACTTACATTTGATACTATATGGGATTTATTGAATTCTAGTTTATTAACAGTATGCTTTGTTTTGATAATAAAAAAATCATATCTTTTTGTACACATTTTTGTTAACTTTAGCTTTAGAAAGAGAGAAATTCTCATTGGTGAATTCACTTATCTATTTTTTATTTTTTATTTTTTTATTTATTTGTTTTATTTTGTGATGGACTTACGACCTGTCCAGGGTTGTACCCCGCCCCTCGCACTGTGACTGCTGGACATGGGCACCAGTGACCCCCGCGACCCTGGAAGGAAGAAACGGGTATAGAAAATGATGGATGATGATGATATGACATCTCCCTCTAGTGGGCAAAACCTGTCAGTGCATTTCAATACTATAAGCACATGACAGAAAGTATCAATTTTTGGAAAATTACTAATGTTTTTCATGGATTTTTGTTACCTGTTTTACAAAACATTACACTTTATTTAAAATAATCTGGCAGAGCTCGCTCGCTATTCATTTTTTCAATAAACCCTGAAGCTAAAGTATTTTCTGAATGTGAGGCTCTGAGTGTTCATATTCGCTGCTGTTTAATAATTCATCTGTAGTTTAGAACATACTTTCTATTTTTTCTCCCTTTTTAAAATGATGTTAGTGTGTTTCTTTAAATAAATATGTGAGTGAGTATATTTGTAGTTTATAAGTACATCTTTATTAATGGGATTCAAGTTTAGTTTAATAATTTTACCTGTTTGATTAAGTTCAAGCAGAAAAAAGGCTGTGGCATATATGGAAACATACAGGAATGGCTAAAAATCACATGACAGGATTGCCTGCATCATGCTTGTAATAAGCTCTGCATCTATTTTCTGAGTTACAATGGCAACAAATTCCTCCACTGTTTTTGACAAGAGGAGAGAGAGAGAGAGAGAGTTCAATGCCGTCTGTCACCTGATGTGGAGGGACATGTACTGAAGTTGCAAGTGAAACAGTCGCACATTTAGCTCGTTTTGTGACTGTGGAAATGTTCCAGTTTAGAATTTTTAAAAGGGTTAAAATTGGACAAAATAAAACACAGGATTTTCGATTATTTTTTTTAAATTTTTTTTTTAGATTTTTTCCTCGAATATTTTTCTCCTATGGATAATATGCGACTGTATGACTGTTTAATAAGATAGCACTTTACACACCCTCCGGTCCCCCTGTTTAAAAAGGGGGACTGGAGTGTGTGCTCCCATTACAGGGGGGTCACACTCTTAAGCCTCCCTGGTAAGGTCTATTCAGGGGTCCTGGAGAGGAGGGTCCGTCGGATAGTCGAACCTCGGATTCAGGAAGAGCAGTGTGGTTTTCGTCCTGGTCGTGGAACACTGGACCAGCTCTACACCCTCAGCAGGGTCCTGGAGGGTGCATGGGAGTTCGCCCAACCGGTCTACATGTGTTTTGTGGACCTGGAGAAGGTGTTTGACCGTGTCCCAAGTGGGGCCTTGTGGGGGGTTCTCCGGGAGTATGGGGTACCGGGCCCTTTAATACGGGCTTTCAGGTCCTTGTACGACCGGTGTCAGAGTCTGGTTCGCATTGCCGGTAGTAAGTCGGGCTCGTTTCCAGTGAGAGTTGGACTCAGCCAAGGCTGCCCTTTGTCACCGATTCTGTTCATTACTTTCATGGACAGAATTTCTAGGCGCAGCCGAGGTGTTGAGGGGATCCGTTTTGGTGGCCTTAGGATCGCATCTCTGCTTTTTGCGGATGATGTGGTCCTGTTGGCTTCATCGGAATGTGATCTGCAGCTCTCGCTGGAGCGGTTCGTGGCCGAGTGCGAAGCGGCCGGGATGAGGCTCAGTGCCTCCAAATCCGAGGCCATGGTCTTGAGCCGGAAAAGGTTAGAGTGCCTTCTCCGGGTCAGGGGGGTCGTCCTGTCTCAAGTGGAGGAGTTCAAGTATCTGGGGATCTTGTTCACGAATGGGGAAACAAGAGAGCAGGAGATCGACAGGCGGATTGGTGCAGCGTCTGCTGTAAAGCGGGCGCTGTACCGGTCCGTCGTGGTGAAGAGAGAGCTGAGTCAAAAAGCGAAGCTCTCGATTTACCGGTCGATCTACGTTCCTACCCTCATCTATGGTCATGAGCTTTGGGTCATGACCGAATGAACGAGGTCCCTGATACAAGCGGCCGAAATGGGTTTCCTCCGCAGAGTGGCTGGGCTCTCCCTTAGAGATAGGGTGAGAAGCTCGGTCGTCCGGGAGGGACTCAGAGTAGAGCCGCTGCTCCTCCACGTCGAGAGGAGCCAGTTGAGGTGGCTCGGGCATCTGGTAAGGATGCCTCCTGGACGCCTCCCTGGTGAGGTGTTCCGGGCACGTCCCACCAGGAGGAGGCCCCGAGGAAGACCCAGGACACGCTGGAGGGACTATGTTTCTCGGCTGGCCTGGGAACRCCTTGGAGTTCCCCCGGAGGAGCTGGAAGAAGTGGCTGGGGAGAGGGAGGTCTGGGCCTCCCTTCTGAAGCTGCTGCCCCCGCAACCCGACTCTGGATAGGCGGAAGAAAATGGATGGATGGATGAATGGATGGATACAGTCAGCTGGTTTGTCAGTGATATTGACATTATTAAATGTGAAAGGATTGAACCAGTTGTATTTTTAACCATGTCTGGTGAAATAAATACAAAAAAGTCATGCATTTCAGTCTCTGTATGCATATCCTATTTGCAGTGACAGTTCAGTCTCACATATATTAGATATGATTATCGAAAAATGTAACACAGCAGTGTCACAGTGATGGCTGAAAAATCATTATATTATCGTATCTTCATGAAATGTAAAAAAGTAGTGGTGCTTATCTGTAGACTGTCAAGCCTAATGTGACCTGATCTGAGCTATATTCGTCCCAAGATCTTTCTAAAATTCTTTGGCTTTTAAATTTGGTGATTTTCAGTAAAACAGCAGTAATATGAGTAAAACACACAGGAGGTGTATGAACCAAAAAAACAGATGATTAAATGAGACATATTTCCTAGTTAAGGTCTGCTGCATGAAGCTGAAAGGCAAGCAAGATTGCTTTTACACTTACGTATGTGTGTGCATGTGTTCTGTTAGCAAAATATCACATTAATTGGTGAAAAAATTAGATAATTTGATGTACATCTATACTGATGTTCCAGATATTGAGCTTAAACTGAGCGTGATAGTAGATGAGAGTCATCCTCAACRTATACTGAGCAGGTTGTGACTGACAGGTTGTGCAACATCTGGAGCTGTGTCACGTGTATTTTGAGCTATCCATACTGTGAGTAAGAAATAAAAACATTAGTCATGTGTTAGTGTTGTAAGCCTTTCCAACCCTGCATTCAGTCATTTTAGTCCAAAAAATTCTAAGGACAGAGTGTGAATTTGTTGATATTTTGGGCTGTTTGTGTCGTTTAATGTATCAGGGAGTTCATCCTATCAATAATTTGACTCTAAAGGCTGTATTAAGAAAAAAAGCTGGTAAAAAAATGAAACAAACAAAAACAAAGCAAAACATTTGAAAAAGTTCATAGTTTGTTGTCTTTTTTATTGAGTTCCATTCATTTAAGCTAACAGTACATCTTAGGAACCACAAATCTAACCAATATATTAAGTTACCTTTACTGCTGGAGTGTTAAAACATGAAATAGGTGTTGATTTAAACGGCTGGTAAGCTATGTTCATTTTTCTGCATCTCCCCAAAGTTGGTCATGCTCCACTAGAAGAAGAAAACTGTCAGAGCCAAATGTACAGTCGGCCTTGTGAGGGTGATACAAGATTTTTGCATAGAGAAACATTGACAGAGTTTTTGCTAGGAAGGGAGACAGAATGCCAGTTTAAGTCGTGTAAAGTGCAATAACAGACAGTGTAAGGCAGAAAATCAGGTTCAAAACGACACGTCTATTGCTCTAGTGAGATTAAGGATGGGTGGGGGGGGGGTGAAAATGGGAAAAAAAGAGGTAGAGATTGATCAAGGAGAGGGCAAGCAGCAGGATCAGTTGAACACAAAATGCACATGTCAGATAAGGAGAGACAAGGCTAAAAAAAGAATCATCACTTTTCAGGAAACAATTATTTTTCTTAATCTTCTGTAAGGAAGAGATAAGATGAAACGATTTTATCCCAGCGGTAATCCTTGTGACGCACACACGAAACCTCAGTCACCTTTGCTGCATTTCCTCTGCTGATTTAAATCACCTAAACTAAAAGCTGCTCTRAAGAACAAAGCTGATTATTTAGTAATGACAGAAAAAGTTAGACTCCCTGTAGAAAAGATCCTTTCTTGAGCCTCTTGCTGATTGTCAGTCTCTCGTCCTCAGTTCAGCATAACTTAGCTTTCACTTTTGATTATGGGTTTTCACATCTTCTTCATCTCTGTGTGACCCTGATGGATTTCTATCCATGTCAGAGGSAGAGCCAGGCGAGTCTTTGTCCTCTTCTGTGGTTTGTTTTTCTCTAAATTCATCCAGGCTGTGATTGAYATTAGTCTCTTTTGTGTTTTCTGGGGATTCTTCTATTAATTTATTCCCCGGGAGTTCTTTCTCGACATTTGCTCGAGCCGTCACCTCTTTGCTCTGCTCTTCTGCGCCTGAGCTCTCCGACTCCCCTGCTTCCTCTGACAAAGAGTACATCTCTCTTAAAATCTCTCCTGAGCCCGATGCAGCTTCCTTGCTGCTCCAGTGGTGTTTCTGGTACAAACCAAAGTCACTAAGATCTGTGGAGGGGTCCCTGCACTGGCTTGATGTTTCGCAGCAGCTCTCATCCGAGACCACGAGTCCATTAGGAAGACCGTTGGACGATTCTGGGGGCCTCAGTGAAGACGAGGAGCCGCTCTGCTTGAGAATGGACGTGGTCATCTTGAAACGGTTGAGTTTGCTTTTYGTCTGGCTGCTCAGAGGGCAGGAGGAGAGCTTGAGCGAGGCGTTGGGGTAAGCGAGACTGGATTCCACAGAGCTGCAGCTGGCCTTGGCAGCCTGTAGAGCAGGCTTCCCTGCCTTCATCATGCCCATCACCTCGTAACGAAAACTGGAGATATCCTGCTTCAGCTCCTGTGAGAGCAAAGTAAAAGTCATCTTTGATGAAAATAACCAATATTGTATAATAATAATAATATTCATTTATTGCAGAAAACTCAGTTCCATCAATATCTACAATAGATACATTTATTGGTAGGAGTTAATAATAACTACATCTTATTTAGTCCTACTTTATCATGAATAAATGGTTAGTTACACATGAAAACCTCGTTATTAAGGATGATTCATACTTAATAAGCCAAATTAACACATTATTAATGCTTTACCCACAAAGCCTACTTACAAAACCAACATACACATATTTAACTATTTATATACTGTGTGTATATGTAAGTAAATGTTCATATAAATGTACTTTCACACCATGTGTTATACACGTATTAATGGTTAGAGAATGTCTGAATTGACTATGATTTTGCTCGGATTTCCACAACTGAAAAGAAGATGTGGACCTTTAGTGTTTTGCATTAACATATACGTACTTAGAATGTCATAAATAGTTTTCATTTTAGAAAAGTTCACAAAAATATTTAACTAACTACCCCCAACTTATCAATTTAAATGTTCTCTAAACATTAATACACGTCTAACACATGGTGTGAAAGTACATTTATATGAGCATTTACTACATATACACGCAGTATTTAGAATAGTTAATTTATGAGTTATTAAGCAGATATAAACAATGAGTATGTTGGTTTTAGAAGTTATTTGCCTTTATGGATAAATCATTATAAATATGTTAATTTATAGCTTATTAAGTATTAATCATCCTTAATAGTGAGGGTTTCAATACTAACTAGCCATTTATTAATAATTAAGTAAGTCTAAATAAGATGTGGTTATTATAAAGTACAATCTGTCTATTTAATACAGCAAATATCAATCCATTCCTATTATAGATCATGCTTTTGAGGAAAAGTCAAAACACAGACATCAATGAGAAAATAAAGCTCTGTTGCTTTTGTGCAAATTTGGAAGGCACTTTTTAGGTACTCGATAAGAACAAAAACAAGAAATAAAATCTGTTTCTCTTTCAGTTCACTGGATTTAATACTTGATCATAGAAATGTTCATTGGAACATAGTTTCTCTTMTGATTGCTCTTTCAACAAATAGAGATCAGAAAGCTTCAGGTACTAAAAAAAATGTCTTTTAGAAATAGGTCTGCATGATTATGTGTGGGTATAACTTCCATGTAAACCAGATAATTAGTTGTTGACTATATTTAGCTTCATGCTAATCAGTTCATTATGAAAACAGCTGATGCAATGAAGAAAACTTAGAGCAGAGAATGAAGCAAATCAGCAAAGCTGTGAATCTGAAAAACAATGATAAAAAATATTTATAAAAGTTATTTTTTGACTCTTCAGTGGAATGATTACTATTTTTGTCCCTATTGGAGTAGGCAGTCATGCAGCGTACTGTTAATATAAATACTTCTGTTTTATGTTATTTATTCTCTGCGTGACCTGATTCTACCTTGAAGTTGTCTTCAGTCAGGCCTTCCTCTGTCTTGGCATCTCTGATCATCGCAGCCACGTAACGTTTCACCAGGTTCCTTAAAACCTCCTACAGCAGTAAAAATAGACCAAAAATATTTTTGAACATGGTGAAAGTGTCACTTTAGCTCAAACATCACAGGCACTCAGCAAAGAGATAACGATGCCAAACAAACAGAGGAAAACATTTTTGTAGCTACATCTTGTTGCAGCATTTTATATGAAAAGAATGCTACAATGAGCCCCTGTGGAGGTGAACAAATAAAAAAAAAAGTCTTCTGCTGAGAATGATCACTAATGTCCCGCTGACAGTAATTGTTCTGTCTGTTGTATGTGACTGTGCCAAAGCTTTGGWTTTAGACTGAAATAGGAAATGTAGCAACAGAAGAGTCTGTTTCGTGGAAACACATCAGCGGCAATGCTGCACTAAAAAGGCCTTTTGTTTTCTTTAATGAGATTGCTTAAGGCTGAGTCACACTACAACATTTTAAACCAGATGGCCGATTTTCAAAGACTGATAGAGCCCACACGAGAGGATAAAAAATCATGGATATAMCTGGTTTGGTCCTAGTKTGTGGTGTACAGTCACAYGGCAAGAGACAACACACCACACAYGAAAAKRTATTTCATTCATCATTCAGATGTCAGATATTAAATCACGTGAGACTTCCTGAAATCTCACGAKAATTCAGATGCCCGAGGAAAAATCTCACGTGACCTCCAGAGAGACGYGAGTTCAGAGTAAATAAACATTTTCAATGAGGAAGAAACAATGTTGATCGTTTGTGGACTATTTTTACCAGAAGAAAAATAATTCCACAGGACTTTTAACATCCAGCAGACTTTCTGGTGAGTCATGACAGTTCTTTGTTTACGTCACCTCGCTTTCTGATTGGCTACACATCTCATTCAACAGGCTGAGAGCTCGGGTGAACACTATACACCCTGTGATATCAGGCCAAAAAATAAAACATGTTGAATATTCGCGATTTGTGGTCGGAGTGGTCCCGACATCCTTCCAAGACGACTCACCACCCACGGCGGGATGATCTGCTATGATTATCTTTAGAGTCATCACGATAATCTGGGCTTCCTTAAGATTGTCGGAAGGGCAAAAATCGGCATGATTTGCTTGTAGTGTGACGCTGGTCTTACCTGATACTGATGGTTTATCCTCACATTCTCTGCTGCTCGCCTCTACAGGGACATACAAAAAAGCCAAGTTAAATTGGAAAATCACAGGAGATTAGTACAAAAAATGAATGGGCCTCATGCAAGAACCGTTCGTACTCACAGATTTGTTCTTAAGTTGTGCRTACGAGTGATTTAGGAGAATTTGTGGCATTCACCAATGTTTTCGTATTTTAAGATTTTTTTCAGATACAAACAAAATTCACGAGTGGTCCAGACCTGTCGTATATTTTACAAGTAGTCAGTCTGCTGTTATCAGACAGATTGTCCTCCCTAATAACTTTATATTTCATTAGTTTGAAGATATTTTGAGTTGAAAATAAACTACACTCTATAATTATCTTGACAATAGGCTATTCTGCTTGAATTAGAGTTATAATTTTAAATGTAATAATTTAGACTAACAATATAAATTGTCCGTCCGGCCAGCTTATCTGGATCAGGTCACGGGGCAGCAGCAGAGAGWCCCCGCTATCCCCAGCAACACCCTCCATGTCCTGGGGGACTCCGAGACATTCCTTGGCCAGAGGGGATACCTAATCCCTCCAGCRAGTCCTGGATTTTCACCAAAGTGCCAGACATAATTTGAAAACATTTTAAAACGCTTATTTCAAAACCGCAACTGAGACCACTCGAGATCGCGGGGGCGGGGTACGGTGCGCGACGGTGTGGCATCTGAATAAATGAAAATTATTTAACACAGTTGTTTATATTTTTAGCGGCTCCTTTCCACAGCTGAGCTGCTAAAAATGACAGATTTTCTTTTCTGGATCTCTGACAGACGGACTTCAATCTCTGAACTCGTAAAGTTCTTTTTAATTTTTGCTGTCATTTTCATGAATGGACACTTCCTTGTATCTGAGGTAGGAAACATATCCTTATATGGTGTTTTTGGGGTGGTAATTATGCTAATCTCCTCTCGCGTGCACGAGCAGCTGGATACGAACAGGTGGAATTTACGTAGCTCATTTACACACTTTTCCTGAAGACAGAAGAGTTTGTTGAATCTGACGTGACATGTTCGTACGAACCCTTCGTACGTTCTTGCATGAGGCCCAATGTTTCTTGTACCAGATTAACATCAATCCTGATTCATATGATAGAGATGTGAGTGATTAGGATGACAACATAATCCAGCCTTTTCTATGAATTGTAAATTATAATTTTTATCTTCCAAACAAACCTGAGTCGCCTCTTTCTAAATATGGATGGACGTTCAACTTACTCCAAGAGTTCCAAAACTTTCTGGGCGTTTGGATCGTGTCCTCTTACACACTTGTCTCTTGATCCAACATATGAGGTACCAGAAGGATTTGGGGCTGGGGATAATGTTGAAAGGGGCTGGAAGAGTGGCCCCTTCCTCAAAGTAACTCATCCACAGCTTTGTCCTGGCAAACTTCCACTCGATGTCTGCGTGGTCCTGAAATCAGATCGCAAAAAACATGACCCGTGTGTCCTGCATTAACGTTTAGGGCTGGTTGCGTGTGATGTTACTGATACGTGCTTACAGCAATGTGCTGGTAGGAGTTGTTCATCATGGCTATAAGCATGTTGAGGAGCACCACCAATGAAATGACGTTGTACGTGCCAAACATGGTGGCGCCGATAAATTCAGTGAACTGGTGGTCTGGATCCACGTTGGTCACGTACAGGCTGATCAGTCCAAAGATTGACCAGAAAAGAGATTGTAGGGTCTCAAATAACCTAAAAAAATGAATACTTGTAAGAATAATTATAATGACATTGCAAATTTAAAATCAAAAGACCTTTCAGTCCTTATCATCTGCTGCCTTTCATTTTATTACAGTCACTGGTGGGCCATCATTTAGAAGAAAAACGAAAGAAAAATTTTGCACACATTCAAAAACTGATACTAGAGTATTAATTTGTCTTAACAACAGTAATCATTCTAGGAGCTTTCACACATTTTCCCACCAGTAACAGTACATGAAGACACTTTCACACTCATTTTCACAGCATCACACATTTACTCCACGCGAGCACTCAAGATAAACTCACGTGGAGAAGGCGTTATTCTGCTCGACACAGCGGATGCCCTTGCACTTCCCTCTCTCATCTGCAGCCTTTGTTTCGTAGTAAAAGTACAGCTGGTTCAGCCCGTTAGCAAAAGCCAACAGAACCTGGAGAACGACAAAAGCATGTCGACCGTTAAACACTGCCGTGTTTKCATTCCCACTTCTGAACGCCTTTTGTGACTTTACCAGACAGTAAATGAAGAGGAACTTCAGGATGTCCAGCAGCATTCGCCCGAGTGAGATCTGCAGCGGCCCCAGATGAGAGTTGGCTGTGAAGAGTGAGATGAGGCGCAGGGAGCTGAARATGTTTGCTATGGCAAACACTGCCTCAGCAACTAAAGTAGGGTGCCACATTTCCCACTGGTTCCTGGGCTTGGTGCCGTTGTACTGAATGAAGAAAAGAATAAGGGACAAATGTAGTGAAAACACATTTAGGTRTTTATTTTCCTGTCTTTTCAGAGACAAATTATTACCTTAGTGTAGGCTACAATCTTGAGAGATATAGTGGCCAGGTATAGTGAGTTCATGACAAAGTCCATCAGGTTCCACCAGTCATGAACGTAATCTTGGAAACCACCGTCCCACATTTGCTTAATCTCTGCCCAGATGAATCCTATAGAACAAAAGCATAAATATGGAAAAACTCTCTAGTGACTCATTTTTATAGCTGGGATTCTTATCTATGTAGATTTGAACATACAGTATGTACAAGTATATAGATTTTTTTTCTATTTTATATTTTGCACTGAAATAAGGAATTAAAGCACTTTGTTTTCTTGGTTTGGCAAATGATTTTAAACTTCTGTAACTTCCATCCATCCATTTTCTGTACACGCTTCTTCTTTTTCAGGGTTGTGTGGGTCACTGGTGCCCACATCCAGCAGTCACAGTGCSAGGGGCGGGGTACACCCTGGACAGGTCGCAAGTCCATGCATAAAAACACTAAGGTTTTTTTTTATGTAATCTAAGGTTTTTATGCAATTTGGTTAATATGAGGCATAAAACCACTAAGGTTTTTTTTATGTAATCTGGTTAATATGAGGCATAAAACCACTAAGGTTTTTTTTATGCAATCTGGTCAATATGAGGCATAAAGCCACTAAGGTTAATTTTAGAGAAAATGACATGGGCTACAATAAAGTACACCGGATTCCGGCGGTAGTAGTTTGTTGCATTCCAACATGGCACTGGTTACCCACTAGGGGCCACTGTTGGGACAGTCTGAAGCCATTCTATGGGAGTGATAACYGCTAATAACATCTATTTAATGGACCGATAACATCCAAWTGGGCTGGTGCAGGTGGCCATGCAAAATCTCCATTTTAATGTATTTTTGCCAGCAACTTTTGCTGCAGCCCAGTTGTATTGGGAAGTGGGAATTTCTTACTTACAGTACAAGTTGTAAATTTAAACYGTAACTCCCCTCCAGTGGGAATCCCATGTCGGAAAGAGAGTTCAGAGTTCAAGATGRCAGCTACTCACCGCAACTTAACAGTGAGTAAAACTCTTTTACTTTTACCCTTAACAGTATTTGTGTATTATTTATTTCACATTTAGTCCGTTGTGCATGTAGTTCTTTTCAGTGTTTGGAAGAGGATGTGTTAAAATGCTGTTTCTGTGCAGGAAAATACCACATAAAGTGCAGTCATTGATTGTTAGCGGTGCTGAATGTAACATTTCATGTTTAGTCAAAGTTAAACACAAAACGTCAAAAGCTAATTACAACTGGCCTTTAGAGGGCAACCATAATGCTCATGAGGCCCTATGTGAAAATGAGTTTGACATCCCTGTTTTAAGGCTAATTAATGAGTTAATTAACGTCTTCTTCCATCAGGACTRCAGATATTTCCTGCCGGGCCTATTTGACAGCTGTTTTACTCACCCAGCACCCATGGCAGTATCATCCACTCCACGGTGGTCGGTGCGGGGCCCTGCCTGTCCTGCCTGTCCTGTTCCGTGGTGACAATGTGCTGGGAGGCGAGAAGCAGCAGGAACAGAAAGGTCAGGTAGGAAGCCGTGTGGCAGATGAACTTGATGAACGGCTTGCGGATGAAGAGGCCGTAGCGGCTTTTAGGCGCGATGAGGTAGCAGAGGGCGAACATGGGGTAGAGGAGGCCGATGAAGATGCAGGTGATGAATTTTCCCGCCCAGTGACGCCGCCTCCAACCCGGAAACTCGTCGTACCACCTGGATGCCAGAAGCTGCTGGCAGTTTGGTTGAGCGACAAACTAAAACAAGTAAGAGAAGAAAGAAAATGGTTTTAATTTGGTTTTATTCATTTAAACCTGCAGTAATTGATGAGTAACATTGATCTACAACTGATAACCTATTAGAGTCAATCCTATTCAAGATGGCTGCCACAGTCAATTGCCCATCAGAAAACAAAAAATGCCTACACTTCATTCAGTTTCACTTTGAGTGTGACATTTCACAATATTACAGACTGATTGTTTTATTTATTTTCATAGTTTGACCAAAACAGGCGATTGAATGATTTTAGTCAAAAACTCATGCATAATACGTTTCTTTAAGGAATGCTAAATCTTTATTCTTGATATAGCTTTTATGCTTTATTACCTCCGCCAAGGGGAGGAGGTAAGGTTTTTGGTYGTGTATGTCTGTCTCTCATTCTGTCTGTCAATCTGTCTGTCTGTGGACAAAATTACGTAAAAACATGAGGACGGATTGTCATGACATTTTTACCACATGTGTGTACTGGCCCAAGGAACACACCTTTAAATTTTGGTGATGTTCCGGATCACAATACGGATACAGGAATTTTTCTTTTAATTCAACTGAATCAGACAGGCTACGCAAAGTGTCACGACATCAGACACATGCCTGTAGAAAAAAGGAAGCAGAAGTTGCAAAGTCGCTGGGACTACACCTCCCAGGATGCCTACCATCGGGAAAGTTGTGATTGTTCTGTTATCAACCAGTATTGATGACGTTACATGCTGTCTGGAGACATAGAAAAAGATATGTGATTCTCTTCACGTTACGGGAATAACTAAGAAGAAGCTGACAGCGGGGGAGGGTCCAGCTGTAGCAGAGCCAAAGCTGGTACCGAACAGCGGGAACAGCTGATCAACCATGCCAGGTACCCCCTCCACATGAGAACTTTATTGTGTGATTTGTCAGAAGTGTTTGTTTGTGCTAAAAGCGCTCAGACGCTGAGACGATTTTACCAGGAAGCAGCAGTTTAGAAAGTCAAACCATTAAAAACCCATAAAGGGGGATAAAACACGATTTAAAATGAGGTTTTACACGATGGAATCTGGCTGATGAAAACTTAGGAGCTTAATCCGGGACCAGTTTGTGGATGAATAACGTTGGGTGACGAGTCTGAGKTTTTTTTTTTTACATTGAATTCCACTGGAATGAAATCCCATGAATACTACCTGCTTAAATGTTCTCTACGTCAGAACTTATTCGGCAAAAGTGTTTCCATCTCTCCTTTGGTGGAGGTTCGCACTCTCAGAGTGCTTCTAGTTTCAAGATAAAACCGAAGCCTAATTCCCTTCTCTGCATAAGGTTGTTTTTCTTTTTATTAGSCTTTGATGCACAAATGATGAATAACCAAAACTGGCACCAGAAGCCATCTAAAACTCAAGGAAAAGAAATAAAAGAGTGGGATGTGTCGGTGGTGTTAAAATTTTGGAAAGTTGGTTCTTTAGAATTAAATTGATATGGGCAGTCTTGATGCAAAAAATGGTACCTCACAGAAAACAGGCAAGCTGTCAGGAAACAGGAGGGATGTGTTTTCAGATGGCTGCACTGCGTGTTTCATAGATGTGTTTGAGAGAACACGACAATGTTGTTTCTCTTCAAGAGAAGTTGAAGCAGCTGAAAATGTCCATAGCTCTGTGTTAAAATAAAGCTTTGCTTTATTTTTCTTGTGTTTTCTTTTTAAATTATGAAGTCTAGATTTGATTTAATGGATTGTTTCTTCATAACTTCAAGCTTTAGCAGCCCTTACGACAAATAATAATTATTCAAAGATTATATAAACATTACATTTATGCAAAAACAAAATAAACAAAAAAAAACATATTTTGTGTGAATGTTTCCAAAAATCACGAGGGAGCAAGCCTTTGTAAACACATTTACATTGATGTGCACATTGTTGTGAAATATCCTGCTGAGTTCTTATATCAAAATGATGACCTGCCTCAGTGGGTACCAATTCACCACCTCGCAGCTTTGTTTCCATGGGAACCACAGACCCCTATCTGTTGGGGTATGAAGCAGCATCGCTATATACTTGGAGTTCAGATACAATAATGGTACAAAACGTGAGATGGGCATGTGAAGAATGAACTGAAGATGGAATTAGTCCCTTGAATAAAAAATGAACATGGATAAAGTAAGAAGGTTTAATTTGTTTAAAGAAATAAATATAAAGAAAAGGAGCCCATTTCATATTTTTATATATTTTGAGGATAACCTTATAAGTTTAAAATAATGTAATTTTAGTGCCCTCTGTGTCTTAAGAAAACTGATAAAGAGAAAAAGTAAAATAAAAACTGAGAACCACTTTTGCACTTACATATTATTATTACCACGCAACCCTGAAAAGGAAGAAGCGTGTACAGAAAATGGATGGATGGATGGGTATTATTA